TAATCTTTGGGTTGCTAGGGTATAGCTCAATTTAACAAAAATGATTAAATGGTTTAAATTTTAGTGTGAAATTTCTTGATTATCTTTGGACATTATCGATCGAGCTGTTTGTGCCAATTTTCTCCTCTAATATTTACTCTGTTGACTGATCTTACATATATGAAGTTCCATCCTAGACTTACAGTACACTTTAAGTGTCATGTTTATATTCAAGTACTTCAATTTTTATTACATGTTCATGTTATTATTGGGATTACGTGTCTATCTTAGTGAATATAACATATGTATGGCCTCTTCATTGTTTAATAAGTTATCTTTCAAGTTACTATAGGAGTTATTTGTCCTGCTATTCGTCAGCAGAGAGCATTACTCGGAATATCTGATCCATTGCTTGAAACGAATATGACTGCTATTAAAATTTCAGGTTCATGGTGGTTCAAGTGGAAGCCAAGGCCAAAGGAGCAACGGTGTTAGAAACACCAGGTTTTTTTTTTGCTAGTAATAATCCTTTTTTTTTTTTTTGAGAAAATGAATCATATGGCGTTTAGAATCACAGTAATTTAAGAAAGTTCATTCCAAATAGAAGAACATTTAAGAAATAATTCCAAGGATATGTAAGCAGGTGAATTAATCCCAATATTTCATTGGTATGTACTAAGAGATACTATTGATGGAAGAAAGTTACAGAAGCCTCTGCAGTTCCAAGGACATAGAAGTAGATGGAATCTTTAGTAAACGAACAGAGAAGGCATTAATAGGAAGTAAAGCCTTTCACCACATTGACAAAAGCTGTAATAAGTGGCAGCAGTTTTCAAGTTGTATGTATACACAGATATATATATATACATACTCATGCTTCAGATGATTTAAGTTAAACCATAACCCTCAACACACCCTTTAACTGAAGAGCCTAAAGTTAATTGTCGTGTCAAAGTAGATTATATCCATTAGATATCTTACTGTTCTAATTTGCAAACAACAATTGCATACCATAGTATAGGTGCAAGTGTTTGTTACAGCAAGTCTACCTGCAACAATGATTGCATTGTAGAATTTGTATTTTTTTTTTCATTTATTCTTATATTAGATGTGGTAGTGTAACTAGTGATGATATCCAGGGATTGAAGAAAAGTTTGCCGTCTGCGATAAACTTGGAGCGGATGTGTGCATCAATTACAAGACAGAGGACTTTGTTGCACGTGTTAAGGAAGAAACCGGAGGGAAGGGTATGTTCTCTAGTTTTAATTGTTGCATCTTTGGTTCACATCCTAGGGATATTTGCTCTTGTACTGGGTACCCACTTTTTTTCAGCAATCCACCAACCAATCTAAATTCTTAAATGTTTAACGGCAGGTGTTGATGTAATTCTGGATTGTATCGGGGCAGCCTACCTTCAGCGAAACGTGGACAGCTTAAATTTTGATGTAAGGCTTTGTATTATCGGCTTGCAGAGTGGAGCAGTCGCTGAAATTAAACTCAATACCTTACTTCCAAGGCGCCTCACAGTGCAACGTAATATAGTACATAAATAACATAGAATATAGCATCACATTGTTTAGAAAAACCGTCAAGCCTATGCACCCACCTTTCAACAAGCTTTGGCTTTCCTTAAATTGGAACATTCACATATCTTGCATCTCTTGTCAAAAAGTTTAAAACTTACTTCTGTAGTGGGCTAGTGGGAAATCATAAACCAGTATATAGTTGTAATTTGATATTTTTTTTATTTAGGGACCGGGATGCGAGCAGGAAACCAGAAAACAAAGCAATGGTTGTTAATGAAGTGGAGAAGAATGTTTGGCCAGAAGTTGTGGCAGGCAAATTGAAGCCTATCGTCTACAAATCCTTTCCCTTATCCGAGGCTGGGGAGGGTCATAAGCTGATGGAAAGTAATGAGCATATTGGGAAGATACTGCTTGTTCCATGATACTTCTAATGATTTTTTTATCTTTTATTATAACAATGGTGTGTCCTTTGACGACACAAAGGAGACACTCGCGACAGTGTATAAATAATTTGCTTTGTGATGTACCTTGTGACCTGATTTAATCATTGTACCAAGTGAAAATGGTGCAAAACTGATATGTTGTCAAAGATCTCTGATACTTGCCAATGCTAGTATTGGATGAAAAGATAAACAAGTACTTGCCAGTGGCATTTGATATTTTGTTTGAAAGGCCTAAGGCCTATATAACAGAATCAAACAAAGTTAATGAAATATGAGATCAGACCCACCGGAAGTTGTACAAATAAAATATAATACTGGGCTATAATGTTCAAGCAGCTGTTCTTTTGAAATCACATGCTAGGAGAATCATTTCAGGCAATCATAAATACAAAAATATATATAATTCAGACTTCCAATATCCACGACCGATAAGTTGTGACACACAGAACAGCGATAACTGTTGAAAGACTCGAAACTCAGCTATGAAAGCTGTAGTGATAACGAATCCAGGTGATCCAGGAGTATTGGAGGTACAAGAAGTGGAAGAACTCGAATTCAAAGATGATGAAGTCCTTGTACAAATTGAGGCAGCGGCCCTGAACCGGGGTGACATCTATCAAAGACAAGGTTTTTACTCTCCACCTGAAGGTGTCGGTACTTATCCAGGTCTTGAATGCTCAGGCATCATCAAATCTGTCGGAGAAAATGTTTCTAGATGGAAAGTAGGAGATAAGGAGAATTCTGAAATCGATCTGCAAGAAACACAAAAGTCAACTGTCTTCAATGGTTTTTTGTTCTAATTTTCTGTTATTTTGGTAAAGGTATGTATTCTTCTAAGTGGACGAGTCTACGCCGAGAAAGTGGCTGTTCCAGCAGCACAAGTTCTGCCTATTCCATCATGAGTTTCATTGTCAGATACTGCCTCTCTCCCAGAGGTTGCTTGCACAGTCTGGTCAAATGTTTTTATGCTATGTCCCGGTGAAACGCTTTTGGTAACAAATTATCACTTAATTTCCTTTTGTTGTCATGACGCATGATAATCTATGCTGATAAATGATAAGAATTGATTGGATACAGATCCATGGGGGATCTAGTGGAATTGGTACATTTGCCATTCAGATTGCAAAGGAGCAAAAGTTTTTTGTTACAGCAGATTAATTATTCATTTGCACCAGTAATAGTCTAAGGTATGAAATGTCGTTTTCAATTATTCATCCATTAATGTAAGCTTTGGACTCATTTGAGTCTGGTCTACCAGGGAATGAGGTAAAATCAGCCTTTTGCAAGGATCTTGGAGCCGATGTCTGCATCAATTACAAGACCAACGACTTTGTAGCACGAGTAAGGAGGAATCAGGAGGCAAAGGTATAAACAAAATGTACTTATCATCAGCTTGTTAGAGTTGTTCAACACTGAAAAGAGCTGAACTTTTGTTTGCCATCATTAACGGTAGGCGTGAATGTAATTCTAGACTGTCGGAGCAGCCTACCTTCATCGAGACCTTGACAGCTTAAACTTCGATGACAGGCTGACGCCATGAATGGATTTGTGGCAGAATTAAACATGGGAGCTATGTTGGCAAAACGGCTTTCAATCCAAGGTATTATGTCCTCAACACCAGCAGACCAGGCCAGACCCTTTACTGTATAATAATGTTGTAAGACAACAGAAGGTTGGAAGCTCAAACATGATGCAGGAACTGCCTTGGGAACAAGTGTAGAAGAGAAGGCAGCAATTGTGAACGAAGTGGAGAAGAATGTTTGGCCTGCAATCATATCAGGTAAAGTGAAGCCAGTGATTTACCAACAATTCCCACTCGGAGAGGCAGCGGAAGCTCACCGGCTTATGGAAAGTGGCAATCACATTGGCAAAATTCTTCTCATTCCATAATCTTTGCAGCTGCAATTTTATTCTGACAATAATTTGGAACCATAACTTTTATGTGTTATTACCCTGTTCGTATCTTTAGAGTTAATTATCATTGAATACCTTTGATTCCATTGATCCAAAAAAAATCACTTCATGTATGTATATATATAAAATATATTATACATATATTCGCTTCATCTATCGTTAATCTCATTTTAACCGCGATGCCTAAGACAAACCATAGCTTTGGTCCTTCTCCCTCGGTACTAATTACATAATTATCACAAAAAATTTATACTTCTCAATTTTTACAAGATATAAGAATTAAGATCTCAATTTTATAGTAGAATAAGGGCAGAGATTCATGATTAAAGATTTTAAAAAATTATTGACATCGGATCTGCAGATATAATAAATATCGCCTGTTTCACGTTGTGGAGACAACTCTCAAGCGGCAAAATCAAGGCCCTCTTTCTGTGATTCAATTGGAAACGTGTCAATCAGTAGTCGGAAAAATACTGAAACTTGTGATTTTATTATTAAAATCACTGTCATGATCAGCGAACTCCCCTCATAGATTTCACTAATCACTAATCAGGTTCGTTTTCGCGGTCGTTTCCTTAAATCTGTGTTACTGCAAACTGGGTAGCTCTTAAATTTTGCTTTAATGTTTGAGAATTTGTTGTTCATTTTATGTTTGTTGCGTCTTTTGCAGATTCGTGCTTTGGGTTTTCTCATATCTTAGCGGAAAGAAATCATGGATTTTAGCAATTTAAATCGTCCGCAGATGACTCTGCTGGGATCGGCGTTTTGTGTGGTGCTTTCATTGCATTTCACACTGCAACTTGTGTCACAGCATCTTTTTTACTGAAAAAAAACCGAAGGAGCAGAAAGCTATACTATTCATTATCCTTATGGCTCCTACTTATGCTGTTGTCTCCTTCGTGGGTTTATTGGATGTTAAAGGAAGCAAAACGTTCTTCATGTTTCTGGAATCAATCAAGGAATGTTATGAGGCACTAGTGAGTGCCCCTTTTCCTCAATCTTTGGATTTGGCTTTGCTGTGTTTATCTATGTTAAATGCTATTCACTGCTGGTTTTTGATGTTTTTGGTTCTGGGTGATTGCTAAGTTCATGGCTTTGATGTATAGTTATTTGAATATATCGGTTAGCAAAAATGTTGTACCTGATGAGATCAAAGGAAGAGAGATTCATCATTCCTTTCCAATGACCCTTTTTCAGGTATGGAATTTTAAACCAATATATCTCAATTAAAAAGAAATCGTAGTTAGTAGTTGCACTATTAATTAAATCTCTTGATGCATTGTGGTTGCTCAAACTACAGCCTCGAACAGTTAGGCTGAACCACAATACACTAAAAGCTTCTCAAGTATTGGACATGGCAATTTGTTGTCATCCGCCCAGTGTGTTCTGTCTTGATGATAACTTTGCAACTTCTTCAGTTTTATCCTTCTTGGTTGAGCTGGACATTCACAATCATCCTCTTTGTGTCTGTTTCATTAGCATTATACTCTTTGGTAGCCTTTTACCATGTCTTTGCAAAAGAGTTGGAACCTCACAAGCCACTTGCAAAGTTCATGTGCATTAAGGGAATTTTTTTCTTCTGCTTTTTGCAGGTAATAAAACCTTCTTAATTCTTTAGTTTTTTATGGAGCACTCGTTAGTTTACACTCAATAGAATCATGAAGGAATATACATTTGTTTTCTCTAAACCCTTGAGGATAAACAGTGATGGCCCATAGGAAAACTAACCAAGCCTGTTACATAGGCCCTTAACTCGTGTGATGGTTGGCTAACACATATTTCCGTAACTTGAAACTAGAAAATCATTGTCTCCTTTAAGGAAACATAGCTCACTCTGGGTATGGGAAAATATATCTTATGATTAAGCCTAATCTAGGTAAGGATTAAACCTAATTTAGGTAAGGCTATATACATCAAATGCTTGCTCTGAATAGAAAATCAGATTGAAACTCATCAGAGAATAATAAACCATATGGTTTCTGAAGATATTCATTTTTTTTTTCATTTTAATGTTATTTATATAATAATAATTATTATTATATTTATAATAATAATTATTATTAATATATATTATTTAATATTACAAAACCCAAAATGGAGGCCCAATTACAAATGGTGGACCAAATCCAGAAGCCCAATGGAAACCCTAAACCAGATTAGGGTTTCCCTCTTCTCCCAGCCGCCTCAGCTTGCCACCGTTGGATCTGGCAAGATCCAACGGTCCAGATGGCGCCAGACAAAACCCTAGGGTTATGATACCCTAGGGACTACACCAGCTGCCGCCGCTCCACGTTGCTCCAGCCGCTGCCATGCCCCAACCGAAGGCTCCAGAAGCTCCAACGCCAGCCGTCCACGCTATGGCTATGGGGTGAGTCACCACTGGGAGTCCGGTGACTCACCGAAGGGTATTCTTTTACCCGGTCCGATGGCCACACCGGTGATGGCTATAAAGCCATCACCCCATCTGCGAACAAAACAGAGAACAACAGACCCCAGAGAGACAAAACCGAGAGCAAAAGATACAAAAATAGAGACCAAATCACAACAACCAGCAACCAAAAACAGAAGAAAAGGGAGGAGAGAAGCTTACCGAGGAAGCCACGACCACCGGACCCCTCCAAACGTCACCAACTACCTTCGAAAACCGAAGGTATTTTCCTAGATTTGCTCCGATTGGGAGCTTTTTAAAAGAAAAGAACAACGGAACCGTCATTAGGACGGTCCGATCTACATGATGGTGTAAAAAAAAATTTCTCCGGCCACCGGATGCGGTGGCCGGCGGTGAGAATCACGGCGGCAGACGGCTGCCGCCCGGTGACTGGCTTCCCTCCGATGAGGGAAGCTAGAGAGAGCCGAGAGAGTAGAAGAAAGGAGAAGAATGAGCTGCTGGCCCGAAGGGCCAGCTATGAAGGGGCTTAAATAGCCCTCCCCAAACGACGCCATTTTGGGGAGGGATCTGTTTGTAATTTTTAATTGTTAAATCCCGTCCGCCATCCCTCAAATTTGTAAACTTTACATTTTAGTCACTAAATCAATTTATAATCCTTTTAATCTGATCTTTAAATTTTAGTTTTATTTATTTTAGTCCTTTATATTAAAATAATATATTTAGGGTAAATAACAGATTTAATCCCTTAATTTTAATAATTAATATTTTAATCCTGAGTTTATATTTTTAATTTATTTTAATCTGATATTCGAATTTTAGATAAGTTTTATTTTAGTCACTGAATTAATAAATAAGAAAATAGCATGTTTAATCCCTATAATTTTGATTAATTATGAATTGGATATTTAATTTTAATTTTACTATAATCTAGTCACCAATTTTAAATATTTTCATATAGTTCTAATTATATTTTTATTGTTTTAATTTTATTTGTTTATATATATTTAAATATTTTTATTATTATTATGTAGTCATAAATATATATATAATAAATAATAATTTATTTTTTTCAATAAATTATTTTAATCAAAGAAAAGGGCAGTCTTAATACAACTGGATGTCCTATTCTGGTATTTTAAAATTAAATATTATAAAAAATTATTATTTAATTTTATTCAAATTAATATTTATTAATATGAAAGAAAAGAGCTGTCTTAAGGCACCTAGAAGTCATTTTCCGATATTTTTAAATATTTTTTATATATAATTTTGAAATAATAGGATTATAAATTAAATATATTTTGAATTTTTAATAATAGAGACAATTTATAATTAAAAAGTACCAATTTTGGGCGTTGTAGGGGTGCTAATCCTTCCCTAAACGTAACCGACCACGAATCCCTTTTTATTATTAAAAAGAACGAATTTTTGGTTATAAACGCAGATCAGTTCATTTTTTTTGATGTTTTCTTAAAACTCTTTTAAAAAAAAATAATTTTTAGGTATTCGACCTACCTGACCCAAAAGGCCGATGGCGACTCCCAAATTATTTTTAAAAACCATTTATTCACATCAATTTTCCCGCCAAGTAATATTTCGTGCCCGGACGAAAACCGGTTACGACAGCTTGGCGACTCTGCTGGGGACTGGTCAAACTTTTAAAATCAATTATAAATTGTCTCTATTAATTATAAATTAAAATTTATATATTTAATTTATGATTTTTCCTTTTCAAAATTTTTTTTATATAGTATGTATATATTTTCTTATTAATATTTCATTTTTATTTGCAAGTATTTTATTTCATTATTTATTTTTCTGTCAAAGGTTTGAACATTTCTCCTCACACACAACACTTGCATTGCATAACATAAAGCTCTATAATTGAGTTTGTCCCTTTTAAGTGGGAGTGAAAGTGACGTCTTCGTGAGAATTTATTCTCCGTGTCAGACCTAGCAAGTAACTTTCGGGGTTCATATGCTCTACGTCTTCGTGAGAATTTATTCTCCGTGTCAGGCATAGAGAAATGTATCCCTTCGAATTGAACTCGATCCATTTTAGTCTGTAATGGACTAGGATTGAGGGTTAGCAACCCAAGGGGGCACTAACAAGGACAATTCGGGTATCTTTATTCTTAGATCTGAAACCCTGCATATAATAAACCTTAGAAACTCTTCTGATCCGAAGTCATGCCGAAATTTTGTCCAAAATAGGTATACACACAGGAGAAATGAATTCTAATTTTCCTGTTAATTTATTTTTTTCTGATTAAATTACATGTATATTTAAATTATTTAAATTATGAAAAAGCATGTTTAAATAAAAATATTTAGGTAAATGTTATTATTAAATTTCTTTATTATGTAAACTAATTCATTTCTTTTTGTGTGTTCTTTATCTTTTCTGTTTGCATAGCATCATACATGATAAAAAGGAATTGATCCTCGTGTTAATTGTCTCATTGGAAAGCCTTCATCCATGAATAAAAAATGTTCAAATCAAATAATTCTAAACTCAGAAGTAAGATAGTGGGCTGAGGACTTACAAAAACAAGAAGGAAACAGTTTGCAGGATGATTATGTATCTGACTTGGCCAGTTATGCTCCAGTTTCGCTAAAAAGAAATGATATGCAAGATTTGCGAAGCATTTGGGAAAGTTGGGATTCAAACAAAAAATTACAGTTTTATCAGACTTACGGAGACATCCCATATTTGCTCTATGTCGAAGTTGATGATGAATTACTCAGAGCCCTAATTCAATTCTGGAATCCAAGGTACAATTGCTTCACTCTCAATAAGGAGGACTTGGTCCCTACTATTGAAGAGTACACAACTTTGCTACATATCGAAGGGGCTTTGGAGAATCGAATCTATTCAAAGTCAATTAAAACTCAACCCTTTCGAGTTAAATTAGCAAAGATTGCCAGGGTAAGAGAAGAATGGGTGACATCCCGTACAAAACAAAAAGGCGAAAGCAAAGGCATTGCTTGGACCAACATTAAAGAACTTATTCAGAGTCATCCAGACACTAAAGTACGATTCGATCTATTTGCTTTGGGTATATATGGTATGGTCATCTTCCCAAAAGTATTGGGATATGTTGAAGCTGCAGTGGTAGATTTGTTTGAACAGCTACCGAAAAAGATTAATCCTGCTTCTGCAATTCTAGCAGAGACCTTCAGATCGTTAAATGCTTGTAGAAAGCTAGGAGGTGGACGATTCTCAGGGTGTACCCAGTTGTTATATGTTTGGGTCCGTAGCCATTTCTGGAAGACAGAAAAGGTTTCATACCGACGCTTTAACACGGATTACTCACCATTAAAAGAATTTCTGGAGCAAGAATGGCCAAAAGAAATTAAGAAAGATATGTGGATTAATGCTTTTCGAAATCTGCAAAGTAATGACGTTGTTTGGCGAGCCCCGTGGCAAATCCAAAGGGAATTCTTTTACAAATGTGGTGATTACAATTGGATAATGCTGCTCGGATTATGGGGAGGAATTGGATATGCACCACTTCTGGTCATAAGACAGTATGAAGGTCGTCAATTTGTACCTGTCATTGCTGGATTACATTCATCTGAGTTCACATTCCACAGCAAAAATTATAAAAGAAATATCATGGAAGCCGTTACAGCTTGGAAAACAACTTTTTGTATCCGAGCTAAAGCAGCAAAAGAAATGCTAACTCCTGATTATGAGGAATGGAGATATGTCAGGAAAAATGAAAATATTCCTCTACCAGATCAAAATGAGGATATCTCTATGGAAGATCGCATTAAAGTGGTTCCATCAGAGATTGAAATCCTGAGAGTTGAGTTTGAAGCAGAAAGAGAAGGCTGGTCAAGAGAATTAGAGCAAGTGAGACGAGATAAAGCTATGTTGGGTGTTGATATTGACTTTCATTCATCACAATGTGCAATGTTGAGAGAAAACAAAGAAAAAGTTGATGGTGAATTTAGAGCATTAAAGAAAAATTACCAAGAGTTATATAAATCCCGGAAAGCATCAGGACCAAGCCAATCAACAATACAGATAAGCAGAGAATTGAACATCGAGAAAAGTCGAGTTGAAGATCCGAAAGGAAAGAATAGCCGTCTACTCAAAAGCCTTGAGAAAGGAAAGCAAAAAATGGAAGATTTTGAGGTCGACAGAAGAGAGCGAATTATAAAACACAAGGCTGAACACCGCGAGATCATGAATGAA